TAGATATTTTTACCCATATTGTTTGTCTTTAAAGATGGTATGTGTGAGGGGGAAGAAAACCCAAACACACAAACTGCAAGCCACAGCAATCAACCCAAAACACACAAACTGCACACCACAACAATCAACACGGAAAACTTCTATGACCAGATGTGTGGCGACTTCTCCCTACCAACAAGCCATCAGTTCTGCAGCGGACACCAGCTGGGTGTCCTCAACTCAGTTCTGTTCTGACACTATCTACCTGGAGATGGTGTCAGATCCCATAGCAGATTAGACTATTTCTTTATGTCCCCAAGACAGCCTCGCTTCAGGCAGCAGTCGCATGTCTTGGGCCTCCAGAACGTCTGATTTCCGACTTCAAGTTAGAGTTTCCGTGATCTGTCTTTGGGTTTGATTAATTTGTGAAAGTGACTCGCAGAACTCAGGGAAACACATATATTTATTAGCTTATTATAAAAAATATTGCAAAGGAAACAGATGAAGAGGGGCATAGGGTAAGGTATGGGAAAGGGGTCCACTACCCTCCAGACTCCTCCAGGTATTCGGCCATCTGGAAACTCTCTGAACCTTGCCCTCTTGAGGCCTTTTATGGGGACTTTATGATTGACAACCTTCTAGAAATGTGATTGGACAAAAGGGCATAACTGAATACTAATAGACCCAGTGGGGGAACCCAACAAGGTCCGTCTGTTCAGATTCTTCTGGGCTTCTCTGGGTGGCATTCCATTCTCCAGAGGCTGGAATAGGACTCCTTTTGGTATGGGGGTCCCGTGACCTACAATCCGGCAAGGTAGATTAGACTATTTCTTTATGTCCAGCTCCAAGACAGAAAGGTGGAGAAGTTTCCTGGTTTGGGGGAAAAAAGGAGCAGCAGTGAGGAGAGCAGAAAATTCCTTTTTCTTTTTGAGTTGGAGTCTCACTCTGTTGCCCAGGCTGGAGTGCAGTGACATCATGCTCATGGTCACTGCAGCCTCGAACTGCTGGTCTTAGGCGATCCTCCTGCTTCAGCTTTCCAAGTAGCTGGAACTACAGGCATGTGACATCATGCCTGGCTAATTTTTTGATTTATTGTAGAGACAAGGTCTTGCCAAGTTGTCCGGGCTGGTCTTGATCCTCTGGACTTGGTCAATCCCCTCACCTCGACCTCCCAAATTGCTGGGATGACAAGTGTGAGCCACCGCTCCTGACAAAGATTCCGTTTTCTAAGGCCTGCTCTTGAGGCCTAAAAGATCCCAGCATTATAACAAGGGGGATGGGAGTCATAATCCAGAAGCTCTGGATGAAAACCAGCGTGTGTCTATACTGTAATCACAGATGGTCGGCATAGTTATTTGCTAATGTGTCTAATTCCAGTATACTTAGGTCTGTCTGTTGTCTGTTTCTAAGAGTCAGTTTCATGCTACTTTGTTTCCTTGTGTGCTTAGTTATAGTTAACTACCTGCTTGTCACTGTGTTCTGCAAGTTATTTGTTAGAGCATCCCAAGTCCTAGATGAATCCCTGGAGAGGTCCGTGTGTGCTTTCTGGACTACAAAGGTAGTTACAGTCTGGGAGCCCCGGGACCAAGCAAGTTCACAGTTTGAAGTTCCTTGGCTCCCTCAGGTGTGAGGTTCAAAGGTTTATGGGCCTCGTTTGATATGGCCTGGTGTATGGTCATTCTTTCTCAGGTGGGTCTGTTTTTTTATTTCACTTTCTTCTTTTTATTTAAAGCCACTCTGGCCTTCTTTGTACTCTTAGGTGTTTGGGGACAGGCAGTTTCAATGCTGGTTGTTTTCCTGAGAGGGTGGCCCTTTGGGACACCTGTCTGAATGTGAGGGTGATCTCCTATCAGATCATAGATTGCTTTGAGCCTTGAGTCTTGGCTCCCATGTTCCTGTCCGGGGGCCACAGAACCAAAGCCTGAGTGTATGTGAATGGCAGCAGACTCCTACTTCTCCAGGTATCCCTGAGGCGGGAGTCCCTGCTTTCTTAACTCTTCTGTCTTTTCTTTTTCTTCCAGTTGGGGTCTCACTCTATCGCCCAGGTTAGAGTGCAGTGGCATGTTCATGGCTTACTGCACCCTCGCCCTCCTGGACCCAGGCAATCCTTCCACCTCAGCCTCCCCAGTCGCTGGGACTACAGGTGTGTGCCACCATGCCTGGCTAATTTTTCTTGTTGTTGTTGTTGTTGGTTGCTCTCAGACTCCTAGGCTCAAGCAGTCTCCCTGCCGTCTCCTCCCCAAGTGCTGGAATTACAGGCTTGAACCACCACAGCTAACTCTTAAGTCTCTCCAGTCTTTTCAGTGTACTTCCCCATGCCCAAGCCCCGGAAGAATTGTGTATTGTATCTAGCACTTTTCCCTCCCTTTCTTCCCTCCTTCCTTCCTTTCTCTCTAGCTCTAACATAGTTCTGAATGGCCCAGTCCATTGATTCTGGAAGCCGGAGCTAAGAATCAATTTAGGAATAGTAAATTATTAACAACTGAGTATAAGCCTTAAAGTGGCCAATCCTTTTGGGCTTCTTTTAAACTTGGTAGTTCAAGGCAAATAACACAGATCGTAAGTCAGTATAAACATTTGTGATTTAGATATTTCCGGTAAAAAGATACTTTCCCTAAAAATGACCCCCAATTATGAAAATTTGAGTAACTTGAAGGATTAGCTTAATTTACCAGAATTAATTCATTAAACGTATCATCAAGACACTTAGACCTGCGTCAAGAAATCTAACTCAGAGTGGCTTAAGCCCCAAAGCATATTTACTGCCTCAAATGGAAAGTCTTGGGATGGGTAGCTTCAGGAAGAGCTGGATCCAGGAACTCAAATATTGTCATTAGGCTTAGTGTCTATCTCTTGTCTGCTCATCTGTGTTAGCCCGTCTCTGGCAAGCTCTTCCTTGGTGGCTAGATGGATTTTAAAAACTCCAGACTCACAGCCGATGCTTGAAGTCTATGATCTTCAAACTTTGTTGATTATATACCCAGCAGTGAAAGTTGAATATAGTCTTCCCAATATGAATATTTCTTTATAAATGATATGCTTCTATATATTACTCTTATATGTATTGTACAAGGAGAGACCCCAAAAACCCAGAATTATTTTTTAGAGCGCAGGCCCCTTGTAGTACTCAGAATTTTTTCCTCTGGATCAAACGGTCAAAGTTGTTTTTTTGTGTGTGGAAGTTTTGAGAAGGTTGTGTCATGATTTGTAGAAGAAACACCCCAAGTTGTGACAAACAGGTGACTGGTTCTTCCACCATGACAACGTACCCACATGGTGATGAGTGTTCAGCACTTTTTGACCAAACATGGCATGACTCCCATTCCCCATCCTTCCTATTCACCCAATCTCACCCTGAGTGATGTTTTTGTGTTCCCTTGGATAAAAAAAAACCCTCAAAGGGAAATGTTTTGCCCACATAGAAGAGGTAAAACAAAAAATGACAAAAGCACTAAAAGGCATCAAAATGGATGAGTTCAAAAACCGTTTTGAGCAGTGGAAAAAGCATCTTGATCGGTGTATTGCATCAAACGGAGGATACTTGGAAGGTGACTGAAGTTTAAACATGTAAGAATAGACCAGCCTGGGCAACTTGGTGAGACCTTGTCTCTACAATAAATAAAAAATTAGCTGGGTGTTGTAGCGTGTGCTTGTAGTTCCAGCTACTTGGGAGGTTGAGGCAGAAGGATCGCCAGAGAGCATGCCACTGCGCTCCAGCCTGGATGACAGAGTGAGACAACTCAAAAAAAAAAAAAAAAAGTGAGAGAAAAATACACTTTTTAATAAATAAATTCCAGTTTTTTTGAGTCCCCCTTTATAATATAAAATATATTTTTTACGTTATATAATTATGTTGTCTATTATATGTTATATTAATTATTATATGTATATATATTTGTTACATTAATTATTAATAGAGTTCAGTTTTTCAGTTTTTAAGACAAAGAATAAACAGAAGCACTAATATTTTTATACTCCGAATGAATTGCTTTGCACACTCCACTTTGGGGACTATTTAGTGGAAAGACCATATCTCTCCCATCAGTTATAATGACAGTCCTGTGACGATGTCTGTTGGCTTTTTAAAGACTATTTTGAGTCACATGCCCATTCTTGAGTCCAGAGTCCTTGAAATAGAAAAAGCAACAGTTTCCTAATACAAGGTGGCAAATATCTAGGTATAAATAGATGCAATTTTAACTTTTTAAAGCTATTTATATTTTGGAATCTTATAACCACTTTTATTTTATCCGAAAAAGGGGACATAATCCTTCTCTCAGTACAAATCTATAGAACAAACATCCTCTACTTTCATAGCAATCTAATTTTATTAGTCTATACTAAATTTCTGTAATTTCATACAATTACAATTACATACAATTATAATTTCTGTAATGTCATGAAAGCGTCCCATCAGGTTTTTGTTCAAACACACACTTGCACACAACTCACGCATACACACACATATTCACACAAGCCCAAACATGCACTTTTCTGGCTAACATTCCAATGATGGATGAAGGTTATATGTTAAGATGCAGTTTTTTAATTCTTGAGGGTGGCCATTTTGAACAACATAAGTGGTTAAATGGAAAGGGAGGTAGGTGATGGAGGGTCTGGAATGACTTTCAGATTTCTTTCTTTTTTTTTGAGTTGGAGTCTCACTGTCGCCCAGACTAGAGTGCAGTGGCTGCTCCCGGCCACCGCAACCTCGACCTGCTGGGCTCCGGTGATCCTTCTGCCTCAGCCTTCCGAGTAGCTGGAACTACAGGTGCATGCTACCATGCCTGGCTAATTTTTTTGATTTACTGTAGAGATGAGGTCTCGCCAAGTTGCCCAGGCGGGTCTCGAACCCGCGGGCTCGGGTGACTTTCAGATTTCTAAAGGGAAAGGGACTTCACTGGTTGGAATGAGAATTTTGTTTGTATAAGCAGGCAGAGCATGTGAATATGAAGTATTTTTCAGGAACTTTCTGAAGGACAGGCTGTCCTGGGGATTTAAAAATTGATCTTCTTTGGCAGAAATGCAATGGCGCGTCTTGATTCTGAGGTGAAGGAAGACTGTCTGAGGGAAGACCTGAAGTTTTACTTCATGAATCCTTGTGAAAAATACCGAGCCAGACACCAGATTCCATGGAAACTTGGTTTGCAGATTTTGAAGATAGTGATGGTCACCACACAGGTAACTTTTATCATTGTCTCATTCGATGTTTGTCTTACCTCAAGACGAAGCTGTCTTCACATGTTCTGTACTTGACTTTTGTTCTGAAAAGTCCACACTCAAGTTCATAAAACTGTAAAACTATGTTGACTCTGGAAAACAGATGGTAGACTGAAGTTCAGTTTAGAAGACAAACTTGTTTTAGTAAGAGATAATGAGGTCACCTCTTTACAGTTTCTATAAATACGAGATCAATGTAGCTCTGTAGTGAGGGAGTTTCTATACTTGAGTGAGGCACATTTGTGTTCTTGAAATCTCTCATCTTTATTCAAATACATCTCATTCACGTATACTTTTGAAATCTGCATTGTTTTTTGTCTTCAGACTTACAGAATGCTAAGTTTTCCTCTTATCAATAACAACCTGCTCTAAGTAAATACTAACCTCTAGGCACTATCAGGAGCTTACAAAATCTACATTTGGATCTTTTAAGTTCATATTGTTCAGCACTTTATTACCAGTATCAAAACAGTCATCAGAGTTGTCATCCAGTTTTTGAGCCTGCGATGCTGGTTCAGTTTTGAGTGGCTTCTCTGTGGGTAACTATATGTGAAACACGTGACTTTTAAACTGATTTGGGATATTTGGCTTCGTTGGTAAAACGTTCTGTTACCAATGTAGAAATATGTAAACATGTTAACTTCTGGAACATAAAAATAAATACTTTGAAAATACCTCCATGTAGTTTAAGAAATAAGAAGAGATTCCTAGCAAAACTAGAGTTGCTTCTTTATTCTATGTTCATAGAGGGCTTTTCTTTGTATGACACGGTGTATGCACCAGCTCACCTGGTTTTAGAGAAAGCGGATTACTTCAAAAGAGACAAGGTTGAGACGCAGGCATGTTGTTAAATATGTATGCTTATTATTAGCTTTTTTCATTCTTGGTTTTCAAGCTTTAGTTCTGGCAACTGATAAAATCAATGCATTGTTACCGTTACTTGTAAAGAGAAGAAATGACGTCTCCATTTGTCAATTAGTTAATTTTAATTGCTTCACAATTTCTTCTCTTGCTAAATCACCTTCCATTTCAACTTTTGACCTATTTACATTACTAAAATTCTAACTTATCCAGGCATAAAATATCATTGCCATCTTTGACTTACCCCCTTTGTCCTGATACCTACTAAATCTTACTGATTCTTCCTTCAAAACTGCATCTATTAGTGTTTTTCCATACTCACTATCTTCTCTCTAGCACAGACTCTTACCTTTTTAGTTAATTAAAAATATATATGAAGCATCTCCTATGCTGGGCATTTTGTTGAAAATACAGCTGTAAGCCGGGCTCGGTGGCTCAGCCTGTAATCCCGCGCCTTTGGGAGGCTGAGGTGAGTGGATTGCCTGAGCCCACGGGTTCAAGACCCGCCTGGGCAGCAAGACCCCATCTCTACAATAAATCAAAAAAATCAGCCAGGCATGGTAGCGCATGCCTGTAATTCCGGCTACCTGGAAGGCTGAGGTGGAAGGATCGCCGGAGCCCAGCAGGTCAAGGCTGCGGTGGCCGGGAGCGGCCACTGCACTCCAGTCTGGGTGACAGAGTGAGACTCCAACTCAAAAAAAAAAAAAAAGAAAAAAAGAAAATACAGCTGTGAATTCATTACCAGAACTGTTAAAAGTTAACACTTGCCAGAGTGTTTGCCATGTGCCGGGCCCAATAAGTGTTTCATGTATGTTGACTTATTGCAATCCTGTGAGGTAGGTTGTTATAATCCTCTTTTTACAGGTGAAGAAACTGGAGCGAAGGGAATTAAGTTATTGGCTTACAGTCCTTCACTTAGTGAATGGCAGTGCTGGGGCTTGAGCCCAGGTAGTCTGGCTCTGGAGTCTGCAGTCTTCTCAAACCATGACTAGATGTAGGTCCTGTCCTCTAAGTTTGCAGTCTAGGAATATATGAGGGTGACCTCCAAATCCCCAGAATTTAGTTATTAAAAATTGTGATTTATTCTTACATATCTAAACTTCGATATCACCTTCAAAGTACTCTCTGTCTGATGCAACACACCTATCGAAATGCTTTTACCTCTGCTCAAAGTACTTTTTGAACTTGTTTATTTTGATGCCTTTTAGTGCTTCTTCTGTTTTGTTTTTTTTTTTTTTTTTTTGAGTTGGAGTCTTACTCTGTTGCCCAGACTGGAGTGCAGTGGCCGCTCCTGGCCACCGCAGCCTCGACCTGCTGGGTTCCGGCGATCCTTCCGTCTCAGCCTTCCAAGTAGCCGGAATTACAGGCATGCGCTACCACGCCCGGCTGATTTTTTGATTTACTGTAGAGATGAGGTCTCGCTGCCCAGGTGGGTCTCGAACCCGCGGGCTCAGGCAATCCACTCACCTCAGCCTCCCAAAGGCGCGGGATTACAGGCTGAGCCACCAAGCCCGGCTTCTTCCGTTTTTTGTTTTACATCTTCCCTTATGTTTCCCTTTGAGGACTTTTTTCATCTGAGGAAACGAAAGATTGTTGCTCGGGGTGAGATTGGGTGAATAGAGAGGGTGGGGCATGGGGTCATGCCATTTCTCGTTCAAAAACAGCTGAACACTCAGCACAGGGTGGGCAGGTGCACTCATAAATCACCCATCGTGACATGGACAAACGCGTTGAAATAATCTCCAAAAAAAAAAAAAAATTCACTGAAGCTGAACACAGCCTCTCACAACTCTAGCTCGTACACTGTTGCTGATGAGTTCCTAGAACACTTACTTGGTGGGGGAGGCCTGTGCTACAAAGGGCCCACTTTCCAAAAGGTAACTTCGTTTTTTTGGGGGGAGGTCCCCCCTCATAGTTAAGTTAATTAGGCTGCTTCTCACCTTTATTTTATGCCTACCTTTATTATCTACATATACACCAGGCTCATTTGTCTTAGAATAGTTTGCATGGTGTCACTCTCCTACAAAACCCTCCTTCCCACAGAGGACAATTTTGACCCTCTAGCCTGGAATTCACAGATTTCTGTAGTCTCCTTCAACTCGTCTTTTCAACAAGTTTTTGTCTTCTGTTTCCTACCTAAATTTCAGCCAGATGGGCCAGCCTGATGATTCTGATCTGTGTCCCATTCATTCCCCCATGTCCAGAGGGAGTCTTTTTCTTCCTCACCATGCAGGAGCTATTTGAAATCCCATCTCCCCACCAGCCTTAACTGGAGCATGTGGTTTTCCTTAGTACTCCTTGCTGTCTACATGATGAATTTCACTTTTTTTTTTTTAAGAGATGAGGTCATGCTGTGTTGCCTAGGTTGATCTTGAACTTCTGGGTCTTGAGTGATCCCCCCACCTCTGCCTCCCAAAGTGCTGGGATTACAGGCATGAACCATGGCTCCTGGCCACAAATTTTACATTTAATAATGAACTATTTCTGGGATCCCATAATTTACTTTTCATATGGATATACCTGGTCTCCCTTAATCAAATTGGGAAGGATTAAGCTTGTGTTCTCCTATAGAACCTTTCTAATCAGTTTTGCAGATTTCTTGAATACGTTTCCTTCCATCAAATCCCACTGTCCCTCCTCCTCTTTTTCTTCCTTTTAGTGCTCCGTCCTCAAGTCTCATAGAATAGATGACATTATATCAGGGTTGATGAGAAGGAGACTTAAAAAAAAAGTTCCTACTCTGCATTCTGCAGTAATTTATAATCCTGAGGGAGGCACCTACATTCATTTGCTTGTTCCACTCTTTCCCTTCCGTAATCTTTGCCCATAATTGGAATGGTATCTTGTTCTCACCTGGTGCAAAATATTTTCTCCTACATTGATTTCATAATGAGGTCTTAAACTCAATATCTTTGCCAAACTACACTTCATGGGTAATTTTTTTTTTCCTGTCTAGTATCATATTCTTGGCAAATCCTACTATCTGGTTAGTGGAACTAGAATGCATTTTGCTGTCAACTCCTTTTTAAAAATATAGTGATTTGGCCAGTACCATCATTCTTTACTCTTCCTCTGCAGGAATTTGGTTCTGTCATAGCAACAAAGGGGCTTTGCAATTTCCTCCCTAGGGTTGGTGTCCCTTAGGAGATGCTTTGAAAGTCCCAACCCTTCCCAGATGCTGGACTGTACTTGTGGATCTTGGCTTGTTCTGTGAACAGTAGAATGAAGGATATTCCTTATTTCTGATGCCAGACAGGGGAGGTAACAACCAGAGATTATGACTCTATATCCTCTCATTACCAAAGTTGAGTTGATGGACTTTGAGTTCAGATAAAGTGGTGGCTTCAAATATCAGCAAATTATATAACGCTTTCTTCAACAATCTGTCCACTCCCTATTCAGATTTTTTGTGTGTGTTTCTTCAGCTTCACCATGAGTGTGGGAGGAATAAGTCTAATATCCTAGCTTTCAGAATTAAGTTGCCAACATCCCAGTTTAAGAGGTAGTGTGGCCAGGTGGTCGAGAGACCAATAGGTTCTCGAGTCAAACAGACCTGAGTTAAGATCTTCACTCTGACACTTTCTAGGTGTTCTGATTTGGCTAAATTACTTGACTTCAGATTGTTTATATATAAAATGGTATTATAGTCACCAACTTATGAAATGGGTACGATTTCATTTTCTGAGTATATAGTAAAAGGCAAAAAAAAAAAAAAATCTTGTCTTTATGGAGCCCAGTGTAATAGCTCTGTCACAAGATGTTGGGGAATTAAATGAGAAATAATTTTAAATGTTGAGCACAATGTCTGGTACTCAACAGCACTGTGCAGTGTTGATCTCACCCACACTGTGCCCCAGCTTGGCACAGAGTAAGCACCCAGCCAACTTTGATTGAAGAACTTAATTCATGTGTGTGTGTGCCAGTTTTTTTCACGAAACAATCATGTGTGTGTTGGTTCCCTGGTTTACTGTTTCAGCTTTCAAAGAGCAGCACGAGCTTTTTTGGCTTCTCCTATAGGAGTCATTGACAGACATCACGTGTTTAGCCTTCTGTTGCTTAATTTTCAGCACAGGTTGGATGAAGCAAGACTTCTTATCTGCTGTATTCCTGGGAATAGCTGGGTGTTAGCAGCTATTGAGTCCTTTGACTTGATATTTGAGGAATGAGATATGGTGAGGGTCAGATGCTAGGCTGTGGCATCAAGGTACATTCTCAAGCAGGTTGTTGCCTTTCATAATTCTGAAAAACTAATGCTTAATTTCTTTCTTTTCTTTTTTTTTTTTTGAGTTGGAGTCTCACTCTGTCACCCAGGCTGGAGGGCAGTGGCCGCTCCTGGCCACCGCAGCCTCGACCTGCTGGGCTCCGGCGATCCTTCTGCCTCAGCCTTCCCAGTAGCCGGAATTACAGGCGCGCGCTACCATGCCTGGCTGATTTTTTGATTTATTGTAAAGATGATGTCTCCCTGCCCAGGCGGGTCTTGAACCCGCGGGCTCAGGCAATCCACTCACCTCAGCCTCCCAAAGGCGCGAGATTACAGGCTGAGCCACCGAGCCTGGCTTATTTAGCATTTTTTAAGAAGTCAGATAAAATGCAAAAGCTAAAAAAGGACAACGATGACATTTGCATATGCAAATTGACATTCCTTTATATTTTAGAGATGGGTCTTACTATTTTGTCCAGGCTGGCCTTGAATTCATGGGCTCGAGTGATCCTCCCACCTCAGCTGGGACTGTTAACATTCTGCCACACCTGGCTAAATTAGCATTCATTTTATCCGAATCGATCATAATTGATGTTTTGTATATTATGGTTCAGATGTATCGTATTGAGCCATGAAATGAAAACAAAGGCCAGAAGTGTCAGTGTCATCTAGTTAAACTTGCTAATTTCGCAAATAAAGAAACAGTCCCAAAGTGCTTTGATGACTTAGTTGAGTGAGGACTAAGCCAACTTTTCATGAGTCTTGATGTTTTATATAAGGCAGTTGAGGAGATCACTTGGGGGGCTGGGGAAGGAGCGTGGGTCGGGTTTGTAGAAGTTTAACTTCACCACCACTGCCTGTGACAGAGATCAAGAGAAAGGACGTGAAAGAGAGTGTGTGTGAGAAAGTGAGTTCATGTGTCCAACAAAGGCATGAATTAAATGCTTTGCAGCCATTTCCTGCCCTTTGATTTGATGTCTTTGGTGCAGGAGCCGAATAAGTCGCAGTTCATGAAAGAAGAAAAATAGAACACGAGCTCGCACTTGTGTGTGTCTGAGAGTGGGTGTGTGTGTAATTTCCTGGATTTTTGGTAAACTTTTGGTGCTGGCTAATTTCCCCTATTTATTGGCTTCCTGGTGTAGCGAACCCTTGGGTGCCCAACCTCAAGCCAGGACACAGTGTGAGGAAGGATAAATAGGTGTCTTATCAGGAGCAGGTGGGTGCTTGGTGACAGTGAATAGGCTTACTATCATAAAGGTAAAGAGAACCCTGTTCTTTATGTGTTTTGATGCTCTAGACTGTGGAAGAAACTCTTATGTGTAAATCTTATATAAGAATTCTTGCAGAGCTGGGTTACTTGAATTCCTTTGACAACTCTTAACTCCTAGCTAGAATAAGTATTTGTATAAGTCACTTTCCAAAAACATTTTTAAAAAAAAAATCAGAGTCTCTCTCTGTCTCCCAGGCTGGAATGCAGGGGCACACTCATGGCCACTGCAACCTCAGCCAGTTGGGCTCAAGCGATCCTTCTGCCTCAACCTTCCAAGTAGCTGAAACCACAGGCATGTGGTTTCATGGCTAATTCTTTGATTTATTGTATAGACGAGGTTTGCCATGTTGCCCAGGCTGGTCTCAAACTCCTGGGCTCAGGCAATCCTCTCGCTTCCATCTCCCAAAGCATTGAGATTACAGGTATGAGCCACCATGGCCGGCCTCAAAAAAAATTTTAAAAGCCACATGCAAAACCTAATTGCCATTTTCAAAAAATACATAAAATTTCTAAATAGTAAACAATAGTGAGTAATTGCTTTACCAAGTAATCAGTTTTGAAAGCAATTAGTTTGAAATCTAAATATAAGAAAACTGGATTCAGATTTAGCTGATTGGGATTCTCTCTTTCTCAATTAAAGGCCAATAGGGTCATTAGTTATTGGGAGTGGTAATAACATCCCATTGCATTCTAGCTACTTTGAATTGCTGATGTAGCTTAATGAAGTTATCCTTCTTTGGGACTTGCATTTTGACATTGATGCTACTAATATAAGTCAAAAAATTCAATTCTTCTGGTGTTTATAGGGGAGGGTTGATGATCATAAGAAGGCATTTGCCTCTCCTGGTAAGTGGCATAATTCATATATTTCTATTTGCTTTCCTTTTCCAGCTTGTTGGTTTTGGTTTAAGTAACCAGCTGGTGGTTGCTTTCAAAGAAGACAACACTGTTGCTTTTAAGCACCTGTTCTTGAAAGGATATTCTGGTGTAGATGAAGATGACTACAGTTGCAGTGTGTATACTCAGGAGGACGCCTACGAGAGCATCTTTTTTGCTATTAATCAGGTAAGTGTCTAGGCCCAGTGGCTCATACCTGTAATCCCAGCACTTTAGGAGGCTGAGGTGGGAGGATTGCTTGAGCTCAGGAGTTCGAGACCAGCTTGGGCAACATAGCAAGATCTTGGCTCTACCAAAAAAAAAAAAAAATTCAAAAAAATTAGCCGGGCATAGTGGCACACACCTGTAGTCCCAGCTACTTGGGAGGCTTAGGCGGAAGGCTCGCCTGAGCCTGGGAGGTCAAGGCTGCAGTGAGCCATGATCATGACACTGCACTCCAGCCTGGGTGACAGAGTGAGACACCTGACTCAAAAATAAAAAATAAAAAAAGACTGGGTGTGATGGCTCACTCCCATAATCCCAGCATTTTGGAAGGCCAAGGCAGGAGGATCACTCAAGCCCAGGAGTTCAAGACCAGCCTGGGCAACATAGTCTTTAATAATAATAATAATAATCAATTAAAAAATAAATCAGGTGTTTTGTGTGAATGACCTATACAGTAAGTTCCCTATATATGAATCTTCAAGTTGCAAACTTTCAAAGATGTGAATGTGCATTCACACATCCAATCATGTTAAGTTAGTTCACGTCTGACTTACATTGTCATGTGCACACATCCTCTACAAATGGGATTTCTGTGTTTTTTTGGTGTATACAGGTGGTTTTTTTGGTGTGTGTGAAAAGTATTATAAACCAATTATAGTACTATATAATCGATTGTGTTAATTGGGTACCTATGCTAACTTTCTTGGACTCACGAACAAATTGGACTTATGAACATGCTCTCAGAATGGAACTCGTTCATAAGTTCAAAACTTCACTGTAGTACTTTAAGAATATATTGCTACTTGGCTTTGTCTTAGCAAACAAATAAAAATTATTCATACATGAAAATATTCTAATGTAAATTTTGCATAGTCTACCAAAAAAAATTCATTGCTATTTCTGAACTACATTTTCACACAACAGAGTTTGACTATTTTGAATTTTTCTTCAAGATTTATCTTTTTTTATTAATCCCTTCACATCCATTACTTTTGGAAGATAACCCAAATCAAATAGCCAAGAGTAGATTTATAATTTTAGGAGGTTTGATTAAGATTTCATATGAAATCTAAGATTCTATGGTTTCAGTTTTGATGTCTTAACATTAATAACTCTAGCTGGATCTTAAGAATATGGAGTAAGATATAGTTGTATTAGGTATGAGGGAGCGGATTGGTAGACCAGCAGAGAGCATTTAGGGGAGATAAACTGTTCTTACTATTGTCCTGTGTTTTTAATTCATTCATTCAATAAATATTCGAGTACCTAGTGTGAAGAAAGTATTATTCTAGACACCGGAGATACAGCAGTGAATGAAATAGACAAAAACCTGTCTTTATAGGGCTTAATTCTAGAAAGGAGTGTTAGACAAATAAGAAATTAAGGCCAGTCTTGGTGGCTCACATCTGTAATTCCAGCACTTTAGGAGGCCAAGGTGGAAGGATTGCTTGAGTCCAGAAGTTCGAGACCAGCCTAGGCAATAGTGAGACCTTGTCTTTATAAAAAATAAAAATAAACATAAAAGCATTAGCTGGGCCTGGTGGCATGTGCCTGTAGTCCCCGTTACTTGGGAGGCTGAGTGGAAGGATCACTTGAACCCAGGAGGTCAGGGCTATGGTGAGCTCTGATTATACCACTGTACTCCAGCCTGGTCAGTAGACTGGCTCCCTGGAAATACCACCTGAAAAGCATGTTGTTAAGCAAAGCTTAGCTTATTACTTACAGTGGTAAGAAAGATGCTATCTAGAACAATTTCAGTATTGCCTTGGGTGAGGAGGGAGTTCTTCAGCTTGATTAGAATTAGGTAGGGATCATAGTTTGTGGTTGGTGATCACAGCAAGATGACGGTTGCGGGGGGAGGTCTCAAAGAATCTTAGAGCTGTTATCAGACTAAATCTTCACATTAGTATCTATTTAAATGAGTTTTTTTAAATGCTCCTGAAATAAGCAATACAGTTATTTGCAACTTTTAAAGTTCTAGGGCACAACTTTCCTAGAATAATAAAATCATACTAATGAAGGTAGGGACTAGTGAGACTAGCCAACAGTAAAGCCAAGTTAATGGAAGCTAATGGAAGGTAATGTTAGTGTTAGTTATGTTTATGTAAGCTGTGGGGTGTGGATGGCTCATGTCCTCAGTGGAATGTCTGAAAGTGATCACTGCTAAGTAATAAAGCAGGGATAAGCAGCAACTTTGTAAACACTCCCAGAGCAGTGTTTGGGCCTGGTGACGGATGTGCAATTTTTTGCATTTTTAATTTTTATTCACTGTATTTTTTAGTTGAATGAACAGGTACTCACTGCACACATCAAATATTTATGGGGTACAATGTGATGCTCTGATCTTATGTTCTCAATTTTCATTGACTCAGTGAGGGAGGGCCTCATTGAGGTGCTGAGATTTGGGTTGAGACCTGAAGGGGTGAGCCAAGCAGGTGCAGGCCTAGAGTTCCAAGCAGAGGGCACAGCAAAGGCTAAAGGCAGAAATATGCCTGGTGAGCTCCAGGAATGGTCTGGAGGCAGTGTGGCTTTGGAGGCTGGAGCCAAGAGTCGTATTGGTCAGGCAGGAGCTGGACTTTGGCTCTGAGCAAAATGAGCATGTTTAGTTCTGAGTTCTGTAAGGCTGTGTGTTCCTGAGGGATGTGAGAACATTTCTTTGTGTGTGGTATTTGAAACTGGGACATTCTATGAGGTACATGATGAAAACAATACAAAGTGGCTGAAAATGCATTCAATATGCTGTAACTTCGATCAACTTCTACAAGCTCATGCATGTTTTTATTTAACTATTTTTAAAATAGTATCATCGTCTCAAGGACATTACCCTGGGCACCCTTGGTTATGGAGAAAATGAAGACAATAGAATTGGCTTAAAAGTCTGTAAGAAACATTACAAGAAAGGGACCATGTTTCCTTCCAACGAGACACTGAATATTGACAGTGACATTGAGACAGGTAATGCAGTGATCATTTCATGATGTGCCCTTAACATCTTCTGTGGCGAGAGCAGAAACACCCTCATGTGCTAGCAACCCAAATGAATCAACTTTGCTTTTGTGCGAGCTCACCTATTAGAGGCCAGCACCTTCACATGTGCCTGCAGAGGGCTTTGGCTCGGGAAACTGCAGTTGTGGTGGAGTTCTTGGTACAACTCAAGATTGTTGGTTTGGGGATAAATGCACAGGCATTTCTTGTTTATGTTTCACCCTCCACGAGGGTGCAAGTGACAAAATGGTCTGTTAGTATACAATGCAATAATATATACCTTGCACACTTTTTTATTGTTTGTAAAATATATAAATGCTCTTCAAAGGTGAATTGTGATGAATAACTTATTTTCTCTGTTAGGAGGTTGGTTGGTAAAAAGTTAATGGCTCATTAAGTAGAATTGTTTTGTGCCATTCTGTTACGAATTTAAAAGCACACTCCATATGTAAGTAGAAAGTGTTTGACTTAAGATTTTGGGGTTTTGTTATTTATTCAACAAACCTCTGGTGTTCAGCCACCGTGTCCAAGGCACTCAGTTTTATGTTCTGGGATTGCAAAGATTAATCACTCATGGCTTCTCAAGTAGCTAACAGCTTAGGAGTAGGGTTCCTAATAGTTATAATTTGGAATGTTTTATTAAAGTGAGTGTCCCATTTGACCATATTTCCTATCACTGGATCTTAGGGTGCCTTGGTAACAATACAGCAGAACACAAAGACAGAAGTTTTAATTCTGTTTCTCTCGGCTGCTTGTTCAGAATCTCTGTGAGTAAATGTGTCGCAGGCTCTTGGTTCTGAAAGAAGCAGCCTGTAAACCAGCTCCATCTGGGGCCACATGATGTCTGGTCCCCAGGGTGCCTTCAGAGACCATCTAGAGTTGGTGCCTTTTTGGCATCAGGGACCAGCTTTGTGGAAGACAATTTTTTCACCGGGGGAGAGTGGGGTATAGTTTCAGGATGATTCGAGTGCATTACATTTATAGTTCAGAGCAGTGATGGCATTAGATTCTCATAAGGACTGAGCAGCCTAGATCAGGAATGGACTTTCCTGTTTCTTTATGACTAGATTGGGGCTATACATCTTTGGGAGGAATACCACACAAGTGATGTTGTTTCCTTCTTGGTATGTTGGCACATGCAGTTCATGATAGGGTTCCCGTTCCTATGAGAGTCTAATGCCACTGAGCTGATCTGACAGAAGGTGAACCTCAGGTGATAATGCGGGTGATGGGGAGTGGCCACAAACACAGAGGAAACTTTGCTCACTCCCCTGTCGCTTCCCCCCTACTATGCGGCTTGGTTCCTTTCAGGCTGTGGACCGCTATAGATCCGTGGTCTAGGGGTTGGAGACCCTTGATCTAGAGGACAGTGGCTTAGTTCTGAGCTAGCAGCACTGGAATGTCACTTGTCTTATTGTCCTGGAGTCTTCTACTAACCTGAGATCAATTTAGTAGTTCACCTGTAGGGGCTAATCCTGTTTGACTTTTTCTGGATCTTTTGCCTGGGGCGGTCAGCTGTGCTCCTCCCTGTGGATGATTCCTGTGACTGTGATAGGAGAACTTGACAGAGCTGAAAACTTGTTCTGTCACCCTCTGCTTTAAGAAAGCCACCTGTCACTTGTGCTTTTAAAAATACGTGACTCGAGCTGGATGAATCATACAACTGTCTTCCTGTGTTTCATGGGCTGTTTTTCTCAACTGATTTTCCTTGGAAAATTGATTCAAGAAATGTGGCCAATGTCAATATCAGTAGCTAAGTAGGATGGGCAATGCTGGAAAGCAGGATTATTCCTGCTCTTGCTAAGCTCCTATCAGAAGCAGAATAAATGACATGGGCAGAGGGTGATTATTGATTTGACTTTATTGTAAGATAGATTGCTTAAGCAGGTTAAATGTATTCTTTGACTTATTAAATAAACTTGTCAAAGAGAATCTTTTGATACATCTATTCAAAAGGTGTAAAGAAGAGTTTTAAAATACTCGATACTGGATTTTAGACTATCTTTTCTTGGGTATCTTGGAGGAAGCCTGCAGATGATATATACGGGGTGCCAAAAAAATGTATACACATTTTAGGAGATGTTATCTATGTATTACTTTTCATAGTTGAACTAAATTACAGTAGTAATGTGTAGTATGATGCTCAATCAACCGTGCTTCTGCCATTTTCTTTGACTGTCTTGACTGTCACATGGGGATGCTAGCATTCATTTGATTAAGGCCATCTTTTGAGCGAACATTATATTTAACAGGTGTATACTTTTTTATGGTATATACATAGAAATTGAGTTTGACTTCATTGTTTTGATAATATAGTTTAGGCAAATTAGCAAAAGCTGTTTTAGATGAACTACTCAAGAATTTTGCATTATCTTTACTATTCAGAGAATCATCCTTCATAGTGTGCTAAGCACAGAGATCCACCTGTGTGCCCAGCTTTCCTGGGAAACTTCTGTTTAGTTGTGCAACTGACTGTGCAGATAAATCTTAGTATTTCCTTTAATACATGCTAACAGACACATTCCTCCTGGGTCTGCCCCTAGAACTGTAGTGTCCTAGGTCAACCTCACTGTTAAAAAAATTTGTTTTACAACATTTGGGTGACTCTCACTGTAATACAGTATTTCATTTTCTGTAATATAATTTTTGACTTTCTTATGTTCTTTTCCACATGTTCTTAGCATGAAACATTATGCCCATTTCGTCATTTTTCCTGCGCTCTTAAGAACATAGCGAATCCACTCTCTCTTTAAGAGTGTTGTTATTTCATTGACTAGAACAGTGGTCCCCAGCTCTTTTGGCATCAGGGACCAGTTTTGTGGAAGACAATTTTTTGTGATCATCTGATCACTCAATTACCATTTTATCACATTTGTTTGATCATTCTTCTTGTGTATAATTATTTCTCTTGAAGGCACAGACATGCTGCTTCTTTACCTCTAAATACTTCTGTGTGCATTTCCCCAAAACAAGAACATTCCCCTACACAACCATGGTACCGTGCTCAAAATGATGCTTTAACATTGACGCAATGCTACAAGCCCTGTTCACATTTCATCAATTGTTCCAGTGTTCTTCACAGCCAAATAAAAACTGACCCCTCCCCCCCATGAGGATCTGTTCCAGGATCACATCTGGCATCTTGGTTGTTATGTCTTATCTGGTTGTTATGTCTTTTGGTCTCTTTTGATCTGGAGCAATAGGACGTTCTTTGGTTTTTCTGTTTGTTTTAACTTTGATGACCTTGACATTTTGAAAGAGTGGGATGTTCCAGAATGGACTTTGCTGTTTCTTTATGACTAGATTGGGGCTATACATCTTTGGGAGGAATACCGCACAAGTGATGTTGTTTCCTTCTTGGTACGTTGAATCAGGAGGTACGTGATGTCTGTTTATCTCATTACTAGCAATGTTAGCTTTGATCACCTGGTTAGTGTAGTTTCTGCCAGGTTCTCCACTGTAGGGTTACTATTGCTCTTCCTGTGTAATTTGTAAGTATTTTCTGGGGAAATACTCTGAAGCTTTCTAAGTATCCTGCTTTTTGTCACACTTTTACCCAGTAGTTTTTTAGTGTATGGTTTTTGCCTGAAACAACCACTTATTGTTCTTTCATTGCTCTAGATTGTGTTCATTTGGACCATCAGACTCTCTCCAAGAACCCACAGGACTGGAAGAACTTGTCATTCTTCAGACTAGAATTTTATAGGTAAAAGCGTTTTTTAGTCTCACTACCCAGGAGACAAGGGCGAAGGAAGAATGATATAGTACAACGGTGACATTTCATACATTTTCATGTATTTTATTCAGGCTCTTACAAGTCGACATCTCCTTTCATCTCAAGGGCATTGGTCTACAAACGATTCGTTCCCGTGAGGTACCGGACTGTTATATCTTTCAGAACACGGCAAGTGTCTTTGTCTTACTAAGCCATTTTCTCTTATTTTCCCCTACACATTTTGTAGATGCAGAGTGTAACACACTAGCATTAGATGCATTAGATGCAGCTGTGTTTAAAAAAATTGAATCATACATTGTGGTATTGCTTGTTTTTTTTTTTTTTTTAAGATTAGAAAACATAGTTTAGTTAAAAGTAAATTAGAGAGAGAGAGAGAGAGAGAGAGAGAGAGAGAGAGAGAGAGAGAATTCACCTCCCCAAGGTAGGGAAGGGGGCCAAAGTCAGGAAGCATGATGACAGCCATAGCTTAAAGAGCCCATGGCCACACCAGAGTCTAGCAAGGCAATGGCCACATCGTGGTATTGTTGAACCAGAGACCATTACTTCTGAAGATGAAGCAGGCAAGCCCATCTCAGCTTTTAAAAACTAGATTTCTGGGTTGAAGAGTTTTCAAAATTGGCCTCGACATCCTAGTCTTCTTATACATTAAAAAATGTTGATGACAAGAATTTTAGGTGTCTATAGTGCTCTTCCCGGCTTCAAAGGAAGGTCTTTGCAAATGTTGTATGTAGTAAATGTTTTCAAACCTCAAGGCAGAAACTGATCTGAAGGCCAGTCTGCAAGAGACTTCACTTTTTGGAAGCAGTAAGTTGGCTTCTCACTTTCATGGACTTTCTCCTTCCTTCTCTCTGTTCTTCTTTTCTTTCTTTTCTACTTTCTTCTTTCCCCCTCCGTGCCTCCCTCCCTTTCCTGTTTGTCAAGGGGCTAAATGGAATGCTTAGCTGAAAGTTATATGTTCTGTTTTTCAGCAATTCAGAAGAGTGCTTATTTGACAATAATCTGTAAAAACTTAATGAGTCCTTTCTAAGCACCAGACGTGTGGCTATGTCCTAGAGGTACAGTGGCAGCCGGGAAGCTTATAGCTTAGTGGAGGAAACAGACAGAAAAACAAGTACATTGAGAAATAAAAGTAACTACAGATTGTGATGTGTGGACAGGAAGTATGTATCCAGCTGAGATGCATTCTGGAAGAGAGACAGGAGAGGAGCCTGGAGGGGGGTCTGCAAGGAGGGGGTCATCGATGACTTTGTCATGACATGGTCAGCAGTGTGGGTTAAAAAAATTGACTTTTCACTTTTTTGTTATTCTTTGGACTCGTACCTCCTTAAGGTTCTGAAAAGGTGAAAAAAGTATTTTAGGGACTCTCCTGGAGGAAATAGAGACCTTGAATGCCAATGCTAGTGAAGGTTTAGTCATAGATTATAGGGACAAAAATGAAGGTGGTTTGGCTTAATTCTCTAAGCTTTGGTTTGGTTGTAGTGAGGTTCTTGGACTACATAGAACTTGGCTTGTGTTCAGAGACGTACAGACGCTTATACATTCAGCTCTACATTTGGCTTTCCAAGTTTTTTTCTTGATTTTTTTTTGAACTTCTTCATGTGTTCACCCTAAGAACTACTTGGCATATAGCACTTATAAGCTTTAAATTATTTAAATGATTGATTTAAATTGCATAATGTGGAAGATTGAGGGCATTTGGATATCTTAAGTTCGGCCTAAAGTAGTCTTTGTTGTTTCTGAAATATTACATGTAACTCTTGAAGCAAACAAACAAACAAAAAATCCAGTCTAGTAAAAACCTAGAATTCCATACCCAAAGGATTAAATTGAAGTAAATACTTTTAGAGTCTATTTAGCATAATAAATGAAAGAATTGTGTTCTCCTACTAAAGATTCATGAATTCTAGCTTTTATTCCTGGGACTGGTTGGCTATTTTGCTCTAGTTTTTGTCTAAACCAGAGATCTGAAATTCTGGATCTAGTAAACCTTCATATATACAAATTCAGATTGTATTTTTTTCATTAATAACAAAGTTGTGAGGAAATTTTGTGATGAGGACATTTCCATTGGCTTAATTTACATCTTCATCTATTGTGTGTTTCTTAGCCACTAATTGTAGCTGTTGTTGTTTTTGACAATTTGGACTTCAGGTCTTCATACTAGAGGATTGAAATATTTACATGGCACCATCACAACACTGAGGTATTCTGAGTTTAATTATGAGTTTACCTCTACTGGTGAGTTTTATACTTTTTGTGTGTTTTCATGATAGTAATTATTGTCCTTTTGTTTCCAACTGTAGTATTGCCTTAAGCATTTCTTGTAAGGCTGGTCTACTAGTGATGAATTTCCTCAGTTTTTGTTTGGAAAGATCTTTACTTATTCTTCATTTCTGAAAGGTAGTTTTACTGGATATAGGATTCTTGGCTGCCAGGGTTTTTTTTTTTCTTTCTTTTCTTTCAGCACATTCTCTCCTGGCCTGCAGAATTTCTGCTGAGAAATCTGCTGATAGTCTAATAGAGATTCCCTTATATGTGGCTTGGTGCTTTTTTCCTTGTAGCTTTTATAATTTTATCTTTGACTTTTGGCAGTTTGTGCCTTGGAGAGGATCTTTTTGAGTTGGATCTAATTGGGGATCTTTGAGCTTCCTGGATCTGTATTTTCATATCTCTCCCAATACTTGGGAATTTTTTGACCATTTTTTTCATTAAACAGGTTTTTCTGTGCCTTTCTCTATCTCTTCTCCTGGGACTCCTATAATACAAGAATTTATTCTTAATGGTGTCCTGTAAATCCTGGCTTTCTTCATTTTTCTTTTGTTTCCTCTAACTGGCTTACATCAAATTTAGAAATTTCAGTTTAGAAATTATTTCTGGTCGGGTGCGGTGGCTCATGCCTATAATCCCAGCTCTTTGGGAGGTTGAGGTGAGAGGACTGCCTGAGCCCATGGGTTCGAGACCAGCCTGAGCAAATTGACAAGACCTCATCTCTACAATAAATAAAAAAATTAGCCAGGCATAGAATTACAGATGCATGCCTGTAGTTCCAGCTACTTGGAAGGTTGAGGTGGAAGGATCACCTGAGCCCAGCAGGTCAAGGCTGTGGCAACTGTGAGTGTGCCACTGCATGCCAGCCTGGGTGACAGAGTGAGACTCCATTCAAAAAAAAAAGAAAAGAAAAGAAATTATTTCTTTTGCTTTATCAAGTCTATTGTTGAAACACTCAATTACATTTTAAAATCTTATTCATTGAATTTTCAGCTCTAAGATTTCAGTTTGATTCTGATTCTTTTTTTATGCTATTTATCTCTTTATCAAAATTCCCATTTGGATCATAAATTGTTTTCCTGATTTCATTGAATTGTCTGTATTCTCTTGTATCTTGCTGAGTTTTCTTAAGATTATTATTTTGAATTTCTTTTCAGTCATTTTATAAATGTTCTTCTCTTTCTGATCTGCTATTTGAGAATTATTGTATATATTTCCTTGTTTTTCATGTTTTTTTGTGTCCCTACATTGATATCTGTGTACTTAGTGGAATGGCTGCATTTTTCAATTTTGTGGAGTGACTTTTGTAGGGAGAGACTTTTTCCTGTAGATGGGTCCTAGGGTGTCAGTTGGGTATAACGTATTGACTGTGGCTCTGGGTTGTGGTCTCCATGCAGTTTCTTTAGCTGTAATCGTCATCAGTAATGTTTGCAACTGCCTCAGTGGCCTAGGCTATGGGAGTTAGTGATTACAGTGCTGCATTTTTTTTTTTTTTTTGAGTTGGAGTCTCACTCTGTTGCCCAGACTGGAGTGCAGTGGCTGCTTCCGGCCACCGCAGCCTCGACCTGCTGGGCTCCGGCGATCCTTCTGCCTCAGGCTTCCAAGTAGCTGGAACTACAGGAGCACGCTACCATGCCCGGCTATTATTTATTTATATATTGTAGAGATGAGGTCTCGCCAAGTTGCCCACGCGGGTCTCGAACCCGCAGGCTTAGGCAATCCACTCACCTCAGCCTCCCAAAGGCATGGGATTACAGGCTGAGCCACCGAGCCTGGCTTCAGTTCTGCAATTTTATTGGAGATGGGGGTGCCAGGGTCATTGTCAGGGTGGACATGTGCAGATGTGATGGATGGCAGGCTCTTGGAGGGGAGGCTGGGTGCTGCCACCTGACTGTCATACCAGGTGTGCATGGGTGCAATAGGCCAGCAGGCTGTGAGGTGGGCTCTCTCCCAGAGAGGTGGAGCTGTTACCAAACTGGCTATCAGGCTGGGTGCAGGTGCATGCAAGCATGGAGGGCCACTCAGATGTGTGGCATGAATGTGTCCAGGCACAGCAGCCCAGCCAGCTCTTTGGTGGCTTCCCCACAGTGTGGGTTTGCTGGGGAATGAGGGTAAGTGTGGGGGTCAAGCACCACATGGATTCAGACATCAGGATCTCGGTTGCTCCATCAGGCCTGGGCTCTGGGCAGGCACCTGTATAAACATGGTAAAATGATGTCAGAGTTTCAGGGATGGAGAGAGATGACAAATACTGGCCCCTAGGGCAGGATATAGTCTAGCAGTGGGTCCGGTTTCAAGATGGCATCTTGCCATAGAGACTGATGTCACAGTGGGATAAGGAAAGCACAACGTGGGCTCCTATGGTGGGACAATGCAGCCACGTGGACTCCTGGCAACTCTCCAAAGTGGATTCAGGCTCTGTATGGACCAGGTTGAGGGTTCTCCTGTAGTAAGAAATACTGGCATCTGTGGCTGTCACAGGGACCGCTGGGGGTCTCCAGCTTAACTTCTTCCATGAGAAGTGCCCCCGTCCCAAGCCTGAGCTGATCCCTGTGCAGGAGACAGAGCCAGGATGTCCTGCTCCCCTCTCTAGAGTTGCTACCCTGGTGTATTTCCTCAGTCACTCTAGTGGAAATATAGTTTTAGTTCCTTTTTTGGGGGTAGTGTAGAGAACAGTTGCCAGGCAATTCCAATTGACTGTTTTGCTGGCTGGTATAATTTTCTTTGCATCAGCACACTCTATGAAGGACGCTGATTTTTTTTTTTTAAAGCAGAGTTGACCTAACAAGTTATATTTTCCGCCGGGCTGTAACCTTTCTGTGCATTTGTATTTCCAGATTACCTTTGACAATAAAGCTCACAGTGGCAAAATCAGAATCTATTTTGACAGTGATGCCAACATCGAAGAATGTAAAGGCTTGAATATTTTTGGATCTAGTAAGTATGCTATGTACTCGCCCATGTGACTGACAGATGAGTTTTTAGCACTTTATTTTCAGATGTTTAAATGGTTTATGAGGAGGGAACTCCCCCTCCAAATCCCAGAATTTATTTATGAAAAATTGCGTGTTGATTCTTACCTGTTTAAAATTCAGTCATTCTCAAAGTACTCTCTGTTGGAGGCCATACACCTATCGAGATGCTTCTTTCACTGCTCAAAACAGTTTTTGAACTCGTTCATTTGGATGTCTTTTTAGTGCTTCTGCCGTTTTTTTGTTTCACCTCTTTCACATCTGCAAAACATTTCCCTATGAGGAGTTTTTTCACTCAGGGAAACAAAAGAAAAAAAGTCACTTGGAGTGAGATGGGGTGAATAGGGAGGGTGGGGCATAGGGTTATGCGGGTTTTGGTCCAAAACTGCTGAACACAGCATGGTGTGGGCAGGTATACTCATAAATCACCCATCATGAAATGGGCAGATGCATTGAAAGAATCTCCAAAAAATTTCACTGAAACCAAACATAGCCTCTTTCCAGAATGCTAGCAGGTCCGCTGATGCCGATGGGTCCCTAGAACACTTCCCCTAGTGGGGAAAACCTGTACTACAAGGGGCCTACCCTCCAAATGATAATTCTGGAATTTTGGTGGGGGGTCCCCCTCGTGTGATAGGAAGAAAAATTCCATAAATTCACTTTAGATTCTATAAAGCATATCCCAAAACTTTTTTTTCCAATTAGCAAATGTTTATTACACACCTCTTAGAAGAGGTAGCACACGTGATTCTGGCTAGGCGCCTGAGCTTTGGAGCCAGACTACCTGCCTTTGGGTTCTCATTCTGTTAACTGTGCCTGTGATCTTGATCACATTTCTTAGCCTGTTTCGGTATTTTTCTCTGCAAAACGAGAGTGCTAATAGGTAAAGGCTGAGCATCCTCAAACTGAAAATTTTAAATGCCCCCAAATTCAAAATGTTCAGAGCGCTGACACGACGCTCAAAGGAAATGCTCTCTGAAGCATCGAATTTGGAATGCGCAACCAGGCGGTATAATGCCAATATTCCAAAATCCAAAAAATTAGGAAATTTGAAACAGCTCTGGCCCCACACATTTTGGGTGAGAGACACTCCTCCTGTTCTTCGCTTCCAGAATGTGGAGTAGTAAATGAGTTAGCATGTCAAGCAAAGCACTGAGAACAAGAGTTGGCACGTATTAATTGCTAGGGTTACTGATGGAGCCAGTTCTGGTTGCTCATTGAGGGCCTGACATGATGTTAATGGTGGCTGGGCTGTATTTTTCAATCTCTAAGTTCTGTTTAAGAGACGTTCCTTGGACCAGATTATCAGAACGAAATACAACAGAAAATACCTGCAGCTCCTGCATTAGCCTTGTTTTCAGCGCGGTTGGATTCGTGGCCTGCTGCTTTTCCATCGTATCAGATGCTCTGAAGATTTCTGTTTTGGCCTCAGTAGTTCCACTAGGACTGATCACAACACACGGTTCTGGTTTTTGCTAAAACGGTTCTCCAGCCCACACCTCTCTTTTCCAGACAGGCAAAGATCAGTGTTTTCCAAGTCCAAGTGTAGGCGGTAATTTTCTATGAAAAGAAGCCGACCTTTGCCACATGTGTGATTTGGGACAGAGTATGAAGGTGAAAATGACCAAATGAGTCGGTCAAACGTGTGACTAAAACCATTTCCTTCCTCACCCAGGGCTCATAATATCAGTGTTTATCCCTTGTCTATGCCCAGGAGAGAGGATCTCTGGCTCCCTCCTATGGCCGATAAGGAAAAACACAAACCAAGTCAAAAACCGAGTCACAAACTGAGTAAAAAACACGGAAAGTGGCAAATGCTTCTCTGAGAGCTGTATCTTGAGAAACCAGGTTTCATCACCAAGAGAATACGAATTTAAATTAAAATGCTTTGTACCTGTGCTACTGAAAATAGGGAGTGGCAATAGGTAGCTTTTCACAAATAATTTGAAAGTTGTCTTGAACTTAAATGTTCTAGTAAAAACTGTGTGACAGTTTTTAGAGAAATTTTCCTACTTGGAAAATTTGAAGAATTGTAATTCAAAAAAATTAAAATGATGTGATGTGAAAGGCTTCAAAAGTTGATTTTTGGAAACCAGCTTAGGAAATGGATTTTTTTCCCCTTCTCTATGAAGCTGTCTGGTGGCTGGACCTTGCCCTGGCTTTGGGAGAAGGTCAAGGGCAAGAACCACATCGGGTGGGTTTCACCCTCTTTCCAAAAAGCCCCGAGGCCCATTTGCATCCACACCCTTAATCCCAGTTTCCCCTTGTCAGTAGCCACGTTATCTCAAGGCGAAATATGAAGGCAGATGTCCATTTTCACATACAGACCTCATGTTGCCTTTTGTGACTTCTGATTCCCATGTCCAGGTATGCTCTGTCTTTATCTGACTTGATTTTATAAATGTAGCCATTGGGGTGGTGAGGCACTTGTGGAGGAATTCGTGGACGGGATTCCCAATGGATGGGTGATAGACATGGTATTCCAGGGAAAGGGATTTCAGTAGGTTTGGGAAACCCCGGGCTGGAGACCACAGGCAGGCTGATGGTGGAGTGGTAGTACATTTCAGGTCTCTGGAAGGGCTGAGTGGCCTGTGGGACTTCCCTGACCAGGCTGGCAGGGGCATCTTTCTGGACTAGTGGAAAGCCAGGTTTGGGAAATGTTTCTGTGGGGTAACATGGTTTCAGTAGAGTAAGGAAACCATTGGGATGCTCATAATATATATAAAAATATATAGACTATAAAATGAAATGTGATATATTTTGCATTATATACATTTATATATATATTCATATTTATCACACACATTTATATACTAATAGGTCATACATTTAGTATATCGTATTATATATATATTTAATTTTTTAAATTTTTAATTTAATTAATTAATTTATTTCTTTAGTTGGAGTCTCACTCTGTCGCCCAGCCTGGAGTGCAGCGGCCGCTTCCGGCCACCGCAGCCTCGACCTGCTGGGCTCCGGCGATCCTTCCGCCCCAGCCTTCCGAGTAGCCGGAATTACAGGCATGCGCTACCACACCCAGCTGATTTTTTTTTTTATTTATTGCAGAGATGAGGTCTCGCTGCCCAGGCAGGTCTCGAACCCTCAGGCTCAGGCAATTCACTCACCTCAGCCTCCCAAAGGCACGGGATGAGCCACCGAGCCCGGCAATTTTTTATTTTTTAAACATTTTTTTATTTTAAAATTGTGGGATACAGTTAAGGGTTAGGTATACAAATATGCATCGTTCAGGCACCCTTGTTGATAAGGGGTGTCTCCCCATCCCCAGATAGATATTGACTACTGTTAATCCCCCCACCCTAGCCCACCCTGTCCTCCCCTCCCCATAGTTTCCCACCACTGTCAATCCTTTTCTTATAGTATTACGATAGATGTTCAAGGTCCACTTAGGAGTGAGAACATGTGATACACAGATCTTTGTTTCTTTGAGAGATCACCCAGTATTATAGACTCTAGTTCCATCCAGGTTGCTGCGAAATTCATGATTTTGTCCTTTTTTATGGCTGTGTAGTATTCCATTGTGTATATGTACCACATTTTAAAAATCTAATCCTCTTTTGATGGACAGTACGGTTGGTTCCAGGTTCTTGCTATTGTGAACAACGCTGTGATAAACATACGTGTGCAGGTATCTTTTTGATAGAGTGATTTGAGTTCTTCAGGGTATATTCCCAGTAGGGGGATTGCGGGGTCATATGGGAGGTCGATATTTAGAACTTTTAGGAATCGCCACACTGCTTTCCACAGAGGTTGCACTAGTTTACACTCCTACCATCAGGGTAGAAGTGTTCCCTTTTCACCACATCCTCTCCAGCATCTGTTATTTTTTGAGTTATTGATAATGGCCATTCTGACTGGAGTTAGGTGGTGTCTCAGTGTAGTTTTAATTTGCGTCTCCTTGATGATTAGTGAGGTTGAACATTTCTTCATGTGTCTGTTGGCTGCTTGTATGTCTTCTGTTGTGAAGTGTCTGTTCATATCTTTTGCCCACTTTGTAATGGGGTTGTTTGTTTTTTTCTTTTCAGCACGTTTGAGTGCCTTGTAGATCCAAGATGTTAAGCCTTTGTCAGACATGGAGTTGGCAAATACTTTTTCTCAGTCTGTGGGCTGTGTCCCTGCTCTCTTGATGGTTTCTTTGGCTTTGCAGAAGCTTGTCAGTTTAATGAGGTCCCACTTGTCTATCTTATCTCTTATGGCCTGTGCATTTTGGGGTTTGTTCAGGAATTGGATGCCAGTTCCAATTTCCATAAGGGTGTGTCCTGCATTTTCTAAGGTTCTTATGGTTTGAGGTTTTACATTTAGTTCTCTGATCCATTTAGAGTTAATTTTCGTGTATGGGAATAGATAGGGGTTTTGTTTGAGTCTTCTGCATGTGGTCAGCCAGTTTTCCCAGCACCATTTACTGAATAGGTTCTCTCCCCAGAGGTAGGTGGTGGAGGCTTTGTTGAAGATGTGTGTGTGGCTATTGTGAATGGGATTGTACTTTTTATTTGGGTCTCTGCCTGTTTGTTGTTGGCGTATAGGAATCCAACTGCCTTTTGCATGTTTATTTTTTTACCCTGAGACTTTGCCAAAGTTCTTTATCAGTGCAAGGAGGGTTTTGACAGATTCTCTTGGGTTTTCAAGGTACACGATCATGTCATCTGCAAAGAGAGATAACTTGACTTCCTCTTTTCCTATTTGGATACCCCTGATCGCCTTCTCTTTTCTGATTGCTCTAACCAGGACTTCCAATACTATATTGAACAGAGGGGAGAGAGTGGGCATCCTTGTCTTGTTCCAGTTTTCAGGGGAAATGCTTCCAAATTTTGTCTGTTTAGGAGTATGCTAGCTGTGGGTTTCTCGTAGATGGCTTTTACTATTTTGAGGTATCTTCCATGTATGCCTAGATGTTCGAGGTTTTTTATCAAGAAGGGGTAATGGATTTTATCAAAAGCTTTTTCTGCA